AGTTGCTAAATCACAGTGCCAGATTTTTACTTTTATTTCAGGCGACGAATATCATTCATCTAATCTACATCCAATGATCAGCACTCATCCCCATTCTTAGGACCTAACACCTTCTCTCTTGTTGTTAGTTCATCTTCAGTTTCAGGCAACTGTAGGATAGGAAATGTGCCAAAATATAGGCCCCGTTTGGCCAGGCTCCCGCGTGCTCCGGCTCCTACACTGTAGCGACACTGTAGCTGGAGCCGGAGGAGCCAAAAAACGAGCTTCTCCCCCTCAGAACGGCTCTGTGAGAGAGGAAACGAAGAGAGAGAAAACCGGCTCTGATGAACAGTGTCCGCACATGGCGTGAACAGTGCGCAGCAAAGGGAGCCGGAGCCGCTCGGAGCTGCACCAAAGGGGGCCATAGTAGTACTAACGATCGAATATTAGGCACGGATCCGGACCAGACAAGCAAATAGGCTGTAGTACGCGGCGCATCAAATCCACTGTTCCTTCGCATTGACCCCACTACCCCAGCCTGTTCGTTTCGGCTTATTCGCTCGTATCTAGCTTATAATCTACGGCTTGAACAGTTTTTTTCTCTTACACCAAACCAGCCAGCAATACTTTCAGCCATGGCTTATAAGCCAATTCAGCCGAAACGAACAGGCTGCTTGTCAGTTAATACCTAGGTTTAAATCTAGCTTTCAAAAATTCATGGAATAAGAGACTTTCCAGCTCGGATCCACTATAATCCTGAGGCTTCTTTTGCTCAGTCTGTTTTGGTTGTATTCTCTGAACCCATGGCTTGCGTTGTTTGGTGAAGCCCTCCAACAACTAGAAAGGTCAAATTTGCAGTTAAGTGACAATTCTTCTCAGAGGAAACAAAAAGACAGAGCAGACTATATGGCTATATCAAAACATATGGTTGCTAAATGAACATAAACGAACAGTATAGAAGTGCTACGACATTCGGTTGCCAATGAGGGTGCCCTGTGGTGCTTGGCAGGGGCATCCACGTTGCATAAGCTCTTTGCTAGGTCGCTCGTCCTAGGTTACATAATTTTACCTTTACTGGGATCATATTAGGCTACTCATCAGGCATGGAGTTTTGCATAAGTATAGTAAAAAAATTCTAGCCTAAAGTGCACCCTACTATACAAAATAATGGCTAAGCTGCGAGATAAACAAGCAATGAGTGGTAACTACTAACATGAATTTAGCAATGAATAAGAGCCATCTTTCATAGCCAAGGAACAGAACAAAAACATAATATAATACTAACTAATGGCAAGCAAGGTAAACTATGCATGCACAGTTCTTGATAAACAATACACAACCTGTGGGTTTCGTGAGACCCAGTATATGTCGCCATCAAAATCGCTGTTGGCCATTTCATCTGCCAAAGATCGTGGTCCACATGTGGGAAAGAATATGGCATATTTGGAATTTCCCACAATCTTCTCCAAACCATCGATATATGTTGCAGTCAATATATGTATATCGCCAAAGTGTAATCCAGGATGTTTATAGACAAGAACCTTTCCAGAAAGTTGGCCGTTGTCACTGTTTATTGATATAAATTGAGTAAGAAAAAGAGCTCACAATTAGTCTTTTGGACTGATTCAAAAAGTTGGTAGAACCTTAACTAAGTTCATAAAAAAACTAAAACTCTAGAAGCCCCACATATTTTATGAAACACAAGAGATCTAGAAGATCCAAATATTCCATAACAACGAAGCTTTCTAGTCCAAAGAAGGTTTGGTCAGGATATAAACCTAACAAGTGAAATACACAAAGAAAAAAAAATCAAGAGACAGAAATAGAGGATAAAATAAAATGTAAAAAACGAACGTCATATGGCAATGTGAACGGAAGGAAATGACTAGTGTACTGTTAATCGCAAGGGGCCAAAATATGTGAGTTGCTAAATCACAGTGCCTGATTTTTACTTTTATTTCAGGCGACGAATATCATTCATCTAATCTACATCCAATGATCAGCACTCATCTCCATTCTTAGGACCTAACACCTTCTCTCTTGTTGTTAGTTCATCTTCAGTTTCAGGCACTGTAGGATAGGAAATGTGCCAAAATATTAGGCACGGATCCAGACCAGACAAGCAAATAGGCTGTAGTACGCGGCGCATCAAATCCACTCAGCCTGAAGGCAAGATCGTGTGGTGGTGCACACTGGGCACGATCCCAGACGTACACACCCCACCAGCCTGTAAGCTACTAGGGTCTAGTAGGAGCAGAGAGCAACACGACAACAACGACGACTGATGCATCCCGCGACCGGAACGCGTACGAGACCACACAAAACGTACGCAAACAACTGGCCGGTACATCATGAACAGGGTGATGGATGGATCGACTGATTTGTTTCCTCCGGCGATCGATCGGTCGACGATGGATGGATGGGTCCATTGCCTGCCATCGGTGGCCACCAGCTAGAGCTAGCTTTCGCGTTCGGAAAGGGGCCGACACGGCCTGCGCCGGTGACCGAAATGGATATACTCCTCCGTCATGTCTAGGTTAAATTATACGCCACTGCTTATAGCCCTGGGTAAATTTTACCGAGAACCGAAATCTCGTTTCCATGTTCGGTTTCTATTTCCTAAGAACTGAAATTTGTTCGGTTAATTGGTTCCTCCTCTCGGTTAACCGAACTAGCCGAGGAACCGAACTCCCACCTCCCGGAGACCCGGCGCCCCGGCGACGGCCGACCTCCCGTGGCGCCGCATCCCGCCCAGAGTCCGGCGCCCTCCCGAGTCGCTGATTTTTGGAAGCTGGGTTGGTCGGTTAGTTCGGTTCGAACTGGAATCGAACCGAACTAACCAAGTCGAACTTCGTCGCTACTGATTTTTTGGAAGAACTGATCGATACCGATTTTCCTAGGAACCGAAGAACCGAGGAACCGAGAATTCGGTTCGGTTCGGTTCGGTAGTACCGAATACCCACGTCTAACTGCTCACGCTCGCACGGACATCGATCGATATGGATCATGGGGTTCCCGAATCCCGACCGGGCCACCCCACCATTGCATCGACGACGACGAGAGGTACCTAAAGCTAGCTAGCTGCTGATCGTTTTGGCGCCATGCACGCACAGTACCTACCAAATCTTGACTTGCATGCATGCATGCTGCTTCTGGGCCAGGCGCGTCGTCAGTGATATGATACGCACTCGCACAGCAGTCGCACTGTGCTGCTAGTGGTAATCGATCGATTTTGTCGTGCAACACGTACTACGGTGCAGAGTCACGTACGGCAAGGCACGGTGACTTTATTAGGTACAGGGGCGGCGGAGCTTCATTATATTGGGCCACAGTGGGCTATGGCCCCGGCTATTTTTGCAATTCTACAGAGGATCGATGTTATGATATTTATTTATGTATATTATATGCTAATGATGAAGCTTTATAATAGCCACTATAACACTCCCTAAACTATGTATATTCTCAAATCTGACCTCCTGTGTATTTATCCTCCTCAAGCTCTGCCACTGATTAGGTGGGCATGATCGATGCTCATAGATCAGGCCCTCTGCCGCCAGTGATAAAATCATCGTGACTTTGATTGCAAAGAAAACTCAGCCTTGCTAGCCATATTACGCCGATATGCATGCATGCACCGGACGAGATGGCCGAGCAGTGTGACCACAAGGACGTGATTGGTTGCCTACGTACGCTCCAGCCAGGCCCATGAGATGTAGGTTTCTGGTGTTTGGTTGCCTGTATGGTCCTCTAGGTATAGCTCTGCTCATGCAAAAGCCTTCCTCAACCTGGCTCCCGTGATACACAGATTTTGGGTGTTTCTTCAGGGTCAGACTTTCCATATACGAGCAATTACTCAGATAATAACATTGTTAGTGCATGCTTAGTGTATATTAATTGATATCAATGTTAAAGGTAATTAAGAGCAATAAAATAGTCGTACATAAAAATACCATCATTATTTACCTCAAGCAATAATAATCTATCCTTTGTGATATATTCTCATCTGAGCAACCAAATTATGATAGTATTGCATGCATTCAATATATCTCCCTGGGGCCTGGCACCCACATATGAGCCAGGCTGAATGGATACATACATAAACCAAATCGTACGCAGACGTTCACATACACGACTGCAAGCGCACTTACCCCTATGAGCACGCACATACGCCCTACCTGTATGAGCACCTCCGAAGAACTGAGTTGGATGGCAAATCTCGAGATTGACAAAGTCACTACATGAGCCTCGCTTTTCGACCAGCACGCGTCGCCTATCACTGAAAGAATAGCGCAGTTAAATCCTACAATAAATCTAGGAAAATACGAGCATCCGTGTCAAGTCGGGGACTTGAACCCGGATGGGCAAGTTCCACATAAGGAACCCAACTAGCTGAGCTACGCTCAGTTCACTAAGTGCATCAAATGATAAATGCATTTATCATATATATATATATATACATAAATGATAAATGCAAACAGCTAAACCTAACAGCGGGCATGTATTGTACATATAATTCCAAGCAAGTCGCTAGCAAGCTCTTCGTCATGTCCTGTACACGCACGTCTTATCGCAGGCGTGAACACACAAAAAAAACTACCCCCACCGTTCGACTGCATCTATCGGTCCAGGGTGGCGAACCCTAGTCCCACCCTGACGGCCTCCCGGCCACCACCATCGCCCGTCGGCGCCTGCCGCCACCGGCGCTTGGCGCCCCACCCCTCCCCCCCTCCTCCCCTCCTTCCTCCTCTCCCAACCCCCAAGGCCTGTGAGATCTGGCGCCCGGCTCAAAGCCCGGCCACGCCGCCACCTTCGTCGGACCCGTCGCCTCGGCGTCCGCCGCTAGCCCCGAGGATCCAACGCGCCGACTCCTCCGCGCCCAACCCCGGCCCTTGCGCCGCCGGTGGGACCCACCATGACGCCGCCGTCCCCGGAGCCCACCACCACGGCCTCCGGCACCACCGAATCTGGAGCGGCATGTCCCTCTAGACCCCCAACGCCGCCACCAAGGAAGACGTGCCCACCAGCGCGGCCACCAGGCCTGCTCCCGCGGGGGTCGACGCCACACCCCCATCGCCACCACCAGCGACGATGATCCCCGTCAACGCGACCTCTGAGCCCGCGGCAACCGAGTCGGGATCTCCGCCGGCCCCCTCCATGTCACCTCCGCCGGCGACGCTGGGCCCAACATCGTGATGTGCGCACGGCCAGCGGTAGTGGAATCCGCCCCTGCGGCGCCGGCACTAGAGTGTCCATCTGTCCAGCGTCCTGTCTGACGCCAGCTGACGAGATCCTAACATACAGATATGTTAAGCCTCGGGTCCAATGGTTCCCGAGCAAAGAAGACCCCCCGATCGACCCCTTCAGGATCGCCCAGGGTCTCGGGGGCTATGCCCATCAGGCACGCTCACGCGCACCCTCTGGCATTGAGATCTGACAGAGGATCGATGTTATGATATTTATTTATGTATTTTATATGCTAATGATGAAGCTTTATAATAACCACTATAACACTCCCTAAACTATGTGTGAGGTTCATAAACCTAGGGTCCCTAATGGGTCTGCTTCCCAGCAAAAGCTCGGGGCAATAGACGATGTTGCGAAACGACGCGCAACTCCTGGGCCGGCCCAGATAGCTAAACAATAGGCCAAAAGAGCGACGACCAAGGAGGAGACGACGCTAGCTTCCGACTCCGACCCGCCTCTCCGACCGGAAGGCTTGGCCAAGGAGGGGCGATGCTCGCTTCTGACTCTGACCCGCCTCTCCGACTGGAAGGCCTGGCCACGAAGGGGACGATGCTCGCTTCCGACTCCGACCGGAAGGCCTGGCCAAAGAGGGACGACGCTCGCTTCCAACTCCGACCCGCGTCTCCGACCGGGAACACACCAAACCTCTGCCTGCGGCTCTTCTCCGACCGGCGCGGTAGGAGCCGACTGGGAACGACCGAACGGGGACGCCCGCTCGGTGAGGACCCGAGAAATCAGGCGGAGCAGATAAGGTAAGGCGCACAAGTCAACCGCAATATCGAGGACTAGTACAGAACCGAGCTTTACTCCCGGTGGGGAACCCCCTCTAGTCCCGGTTCCCCACCCGGGAGCAAGCATCCGGGACTAAAGGGGGTCTTTAGTCCCGGGTCGTGAACCGGGACTAAGGAGGACCTTTAGTCCGGTGGTAACACCAACCGGGACTAAAGGTGCCTCCGACATGCCACGATGGCGGCACCTTTAGTCCCGGTTGGTAATCTGAACCGGGACTAAAGGTTTTTTCTTTTTCTTTTCTTTTCATTTTTTGTTTTCTTTTCAAAATAGGTTTTGAAGTCGTATTATGCGCTGCTAATTATACATTTATACGCTGCGCATATAGTATGTTTCGGTCAAGCACAATGAGCGTATTAAATCACACAATTCAATCATAGAAAATATATATATATATATATATATATATGCATGCATGCATCATATATATATTTACATGCATGCATGCATATGTGTATTTTACATTATATTATTTCATGTGCATATATTACAAAAGATTGCATTATAGTTGTTGTGACATAACAAGTTTCTTCTCATCCTCTAGCTTGGCTTCAATGGCGGTGTTGGGTGAAGTAGAACTCGCCCTTGGAATCGATGACTGCTCATTAAAAATCCGGCTATAGACTCTTGAATTGCTTTGATTTGGTCTTTGCCGTATGACCTTTTCCTCCAACCATCGAGTCTGAGGTTTGAATTAAAGGAAAATAAATTAATATATGTACATATATATATATATAAAGACATAGTAACACAATCAATAATAATAATTAAATGAATATATAGTGTATTTTAACGTACTTTGAGTCTCTCTGTAGGAGTTCTTTGGGAGAGCACCTTGATAAACTTGCAAACATAGTAACCACATAGTTGTTCCCCTGTTCTGCCTTAGACACCACTTTACGAGAAAAGATTTGTCATCAATCGGTGATCCGGTGAAAGCTATATGTTGAATTAATAAAGATGATGCGATTCGGGGACTTACTTTCAAAGGGATTACATTCGATTGGCGCTTTGCATTTTCCATGTGTTGCTTCTCAATAAAGGTTTTCCAAACAACGCCCAATAAAAATTTGCCGCGTCATCATCGGATATAGTTAATCATCATGTTTGTGTGTATATATAGTTGCTAGAGATCTCGAAATTACCTCTACGGATAATATCTATCATATCTTGGTAGTCTTGTTGTGGTTTTCTCATCGAGTCATAGATTATCAAGTGACTTTTCACCGGATCGATGTCCATCAATATCCAAATGATTCTTTGCATGTGTTTATAGGATATAACGCATAACACTCATTAATTAACTAGAATCAACATATGAGCCATTAAGGCTATGATCGACATGATTAACACTCACTTGAAGTTATAGGAAAGAGTATATCCTTCTTGTGGCGTTGGTTCACTAAGAAGTTCATGAGGTTACTCTCACTTCGGACTTCCAATTAGTCATTGGAGTAATTGGGTCTTTGAATACTATATGGGGATCAACAAAACCAATTTCATTGCTGCCTTCCTTTACGAGCTCTGTCATTGTAAATCTGCATATATATAGTACTTGTTAGGATAATTTATATGCATATACACACATATGATGAGTTTAATAATAGATCGAAAGAATTATTACTTACGGGCAATAGCGACTAATGATAACTTTGTCCGAGAGAGGTCGGTGGCATAGTTGATGAAATTACGCAAAGTCAACATACATAACATCATCGCCACGGAACCAATGTTCGTCTCTAATTACGACACCAACGTTAGAAGTCTCCTTTGGTAGGCCTTTGCATGTACCACTGTTTAGCGGTACATTTGCGTCCCCAGATCGAGATAAGGCTTGAGGGTTGTATAGACTACGGCCTAGTACAAATTTTTTCTTCCAAATATCAACCTCACCGCACTCTCAATGTTTCCATCACCAAACATCTGGTAAAGGTCGAGACCGGTCTCATCAAGAAATTCACCAAGGTGATCCAAATCGACATCCGGAGGTATGTTTGCTCGATGCATTAATCCTAAATTGAACCATATTCATTACCAACAACTAGCGGGGGATTGATTGGTGCGCTTGTTGTCCGAGTTGGGCAACTCCTTTCCCTGCCCGCTTCTTTTTACGTGCGCCTCAATTGACTTGGTGAGAGTGCGGTCATAGTCGATAACGTTGATTTGGATGACTTACGAGATTCCCATTTGTTGATCTTTGGTAAGAAATCACCTTTTTCTTAAAATATCCGAGACTCTGAAGAAATACGGTTTCTCTGGGTTTCTCCTTGCTTCTTGATTCATTTTAAGTTTGTCATAGAATCTAGACATGTCTTTTTATATGCATCAGTTCCTTCTTCCTTCTCTTGAGATATTATTTTGGGAATAACCCTTGGTTTCACGGTGGCTTTTCTTTGCGGTGAGGGGACCTGGTTCTTCGTTTGAGGGGCTGACCTCTTGCTAGGCTTCTTGGTAGGCGGGGCGGGGAGGCGTTGGAGACCTCCTTGGAGGTGTTGGCGTGGCGTTGGAGACCTCCTTGGAGGTGTTGGCGTGGCGTTGGAGACCTCCTTGGAGGTGGCGGCTGCATGGCGTTGGAGACCTCCTTGGAGAGGGTGTGGATGCAGCCTCGTCTTCCAACACAATGTCATCGTCTGAGCACTATGATGATCTGGCGATTGAACAATTGGATTTAGATTGGGGAGGATCTGCTACAAAAAAGGAATGACATATTATTATGAGCAGATTGTTAATTATTTAAGCCAATACAAATTAATGATGTAGTGTTTTCATCCGCACATACCTATGGTGAGGTAGTTCGGGAGGAGGTGGAGCCGACATCCTGGAATGATGATGTAGCGCTTGCGCCATAGAATGAATGTCTTCTCCGCTTCTCCTAGAGTCTTCTCGCCATCACCTCCGGGGAATGTCAAGAGGCAAATCACTAAAACCTTTTTCAGCTTTATCTACCGAGATGGTGGCATATCCTTCTTGGATTATATTCCCATGAATCCTTGGTGTCTTGGTTGGTCGATAGGATTAACAAGACCGATAGCCACCTTGATTGTGGAATTCTCCTTGAATGTGTAGCTCACACGTTGTACAAGGTTCGATGGCGTCATCCACGGGAAGAAGCGATCCTGTGTCCCCTTGATTTGGTATCTCCGTGGAAGCTTGTTGCTTTTCAAGCCGAGCAGATTGGCTAATGTTGATTCACGGCTCGATGCACGCTTGCTTGCACTCTTTGCTATTTGCACTTGCCTTTTGATTTCCTCCTGCATTCTCGCTTCAAGGTTTTTTTTTCCGCTCCTGTGCTTCACGCACCGCTTCCTCCAACCTCTGGAGCGGTGTGCCTCTTCTTCCTTCTTTCTCTGGCGACTTACAGTAGGAAGGTGCATCTGAGGAATCCATGCTCCCACGAGACACTTCCTTTGCCTCTAGTTCGGCCACCATGTTCAATAGTCCCGATGGCGTATGTCGGCTCATCCTTCTCTCTGTTGGGCTGAGCGCACACCACTAGCGATAGCTCTCGAGCATAAAGCAATCTTCTGCTTGCTTCTTGCGGTCTTTAGCGCCATAAACGCACTTCCCTGTCTCTGGTCTAGTGTTCCCCATGAGCGAAAAACCAATTCTTTGCACGTTCTCCCCCACTCGAGTGATTACAGTGCGATACCCTTGGCAAGAAGGTGCGCTTCCATTTTGTTCCACTTCTTAATGGCGATCGGGTAGCCACACGATCCCAAGGTATGGTGGTATGTCTTACATTGGGCATTATGTTGGTTCTTTATCACCCGACTCACACCCTCTTCCGAAGTCTTGTCTTTGTACAAACTCATCCCAATAGGGCCTCTGCTTTGAGATCGGGCCTGGGACGGTAAAATCTGGTGCTATGTTCTTCTTGACATACGTCGTGTATAGGTGTTTCTTCCAAGTCCAAGCGGGTGGCCATCTTCTTCATTGCCCAATCCCTAACTCGCTCCTTCAATTCATCACCATCTATTATATCATCATAATCATCATTTGGGGCGTGAAATGTACCAAGACATCATTCCAAATTAACGCCTTGTCACGATCGGAGACAAAAGCGATATGAGGAGCATTGGTCTTCTTCTTCCATTCACGGGTACTAATCGGGAGTCGGTCCCGT